AAATTAATTGGTAAAAACAACAAAGAATTGGTATTTCCTGTGCTGTAAAAGCGGAATTGAATCTGACAGCTATTTATGAACATCGATCGACAGGTTCGATCGCCACAAAAGATCCGAAATGGAATCGAATGAAGCAGAAGAAAATCGTGGGCAGCCAGGGGAAAAGTGAAAAGTGTGGGAAATACGTGTTCGTGGAAATCAAAGTCCGGAAAAGATTCGATCCCGGACTGAACAAAAGTCCATTGTTCCGAAGGAAGTTGCCCAAGGCAAGTGTGTCAACCAAGGTGATCTCGATCTCTCTCCCTTTCTCTTTCTATTACTCTTTTTTCCTTTCTATCGCACACTACCTGTCCAGTGTTGTCCACTTGGATGTTTTTCAGTTCTAAAATTATCTACATGTTAAATATTTATTTCAGATTTGGATATTTTCTTTAAAATACCATTAATAAGGCTTCAATAAGGATATTGATAGTTAATAAGTTGTAAATTCTTCAAATCTTGAGCATATTTAAAATGTTTTGTGAACACTTAAAACAAGTGTATTGATATTAATATTTGTATCTTAAACAAGGAAGAAATCAGACAAAAAATCTTATAAACAACACAGAATAAATACATATAATATTAATGCACCAAAATCAACGAAAAATCTTTCATTTTAAATCTTATTTTTCACCGATTTCTTTATATCTTTACCGATGAAATTCGGCAGCACTGTCTTGTCACTTTCTCAGGTTGACGCAACTACCTGATCGCCCCGCCCCTTTTCGCCTTTGCGGACCACCGCCCCCGCCCATGAGTCGCTGTCATTCCCTTTCCTTTCGGCTGTTACAATTTTAATGCGTGTCCGCTGCGTCAAACGGCATAATAAAGCAGGGACGTCACAGAAGAAGGAGAAGGAGGGGCAGAAGGGGAAGAAGGGGCAGTAGTGGCGAAAGAATGGAAAACTAAATGCATGCATGCGTGCGTCTTTTATATTGAAATAAAATAGCATAAAAATGGGCAACTAATGAATTTTCACAGCGATTCCTGCGGGAATCGACCTTCGGCCCACTTCACTTCTGTTCCGTTTCCCGGTTACACGGTAAACAAATTTTGACAAGCAATTTCACTGACTGTAGAAGAGATTTTTTTAAGTATTGAATTTTATGTTTCATTGAAGAAGGACGACCAACGCAACAATATTAAACAAGAAACATTAGTTTAACCCATTTATGTGGTTTGTACCACATTGATACTCAAATCAAGAAACCCATTATTTGCAACAGGTAACAAAAGATAAAATGTATTAGACCGAAATGTAATTAAATATAAAATTTAAATTGATGTTATAAAATTTTAGGAATCTTATTTCCCCGTGTATTTTAAGCAGACATTCAAGGAAGCCACAAATATACAGAGAAAGAAAATGAGGTGAGGAGTGGGCACAGGAGAGGCATTCGCGTTAATCGGCAAAACCCGAACCCCATGAAAGGAAACAACAACAAACATAGGCTAACCCCACCCAAAACCACCCACCAGGCCAACAAAAGGAAACCCAAACCGCAACACTCGACCACCCACCGCCCACCGCCCCCTTCCCCCTGTCCCCTGCCCCCTGCCCCCTGCCCATCATCCACCACCCCCTGGCAGAAGCTATTCAACCAAATGTTGTATAAATGTAATTCAATACTTTTTCAATCTTGTTGCTGTTGCCGGTTACTTTTCCCGCTCACTGTTACAGTTACCGCTACTCACTGAAAATAAATAATAATAAATAATAATAATTAAAATTATAAATAATTGAATGTAAGTTAACAAAGGCATATATCCTTATTTTTGTGAAACATTTTATAGTTACACCGTATTTATAATGTCAAATTATCTAAAAAATATACAATGCAATCTGTAAATATATTCAAAAGTAATAAATGATGCCTATGAAGTATATAAAAGTTTTTTTTTCAGTGGAAGTAAGAACAACTGGACAGAAAAATAGGGGGAATTTGTTGCAAGCAATAGGTACAACAAATTGGAAACACATTTTACCCTCCAATTACTTAAATACAATACCAACTGCGATTGATAGAGGGAACATGGGTTTTCAAAAGCTAAACAATTTTAAAACGCATGAAATTAGAGAGATAAGATAAGAGATAAGAATAGACCCAAGCAGCAACTAATAAAAGCTAAATGGTAAAAATTAAACACAATATTTTTTTTTATAAAAAGAACATGGTATTGGAATTTAAAAAATAGACACTACAATAATACCTTATTTTTTGCTTTTCTCTCAGCTTTGGATGCGATTCAATCAAAATAAAACTACGTTATCGTTGATTGACTAATTGGAAATGCATATAAGTGATAATTTAATCTTGGTAGAACATTGCAATACTTTCGAAATCACAGTGCAAATGGGTAACAGTTTGCCCCTGTTGTTTATAAAAGTTAAGAGTACGACCTGAACACTTGCCCACATGGAGATTTACCTATATAGCTGGCGTAGGCCTGTCTGTCTGTTGGATCCGTGTGTCCGTCACTCTGTCATTCCGTCAGTCTGACAGACGTGTCATGCACGCTTCACGCCAACAGGTCTCCAATTTCACCTCGCCTGTCTGCGCTTTTCTTTACCGTTACGAGTACACCTAAAACAAAAACGAAAACAGCCATAGACATCACCAATCTATACAAAATATACACGATATAATAGTTACAAAAATTGGTATCACTTTACTAACATATCTTACATGACTATTAACTTTTTGGTTTAAAAATATATGAAACAAGCTAGAAATTCACTCTAACAAATTGTAAATTACAATAAAAACAAAAATTCTGTTAATTTGTTTTCTCAGTAAAAAATAATAAGAGCTTTGAAGGACATCTACCACTCAAGATAAATAAATTCTAAATTTATTTGCTTCCCGACTTGATTAAAAAAAACTTTAAAAGAACTAACTGAAACACTGAAATAGTTTAATGATATTTACATTTTAAATAGTCGAAACAGTAGATTTGTTAGCTTTAAATGACAATTTTTCAAGGCCTTACCAGTAAACAAGTTTTTATAACCTTCCGTACACAAATTTTTGATATTTTTTTTTACAAAATAAAAACTTTCTCTCTTGGTTCCGATTTGGTAACCCGAAACCGATTTTGAATCAAATCTGAATCTGTTTACAAAATGTTCAAAGTGTTTGGCCTCTATTCGTGTCATCAAAGGGGATTCCCCCGCGCCGGCTCCTGGGTTTTGCACCACCCCCCGGGTTGAGTGGGTTTTTGTGAGCGCTAATAGATTTCCTATTACGGGGAAGGGCGGTGCACCGCACCCGTTCACACGCATGGCCGAATTCCCATTTTACGCCCCGTCTCATCCGGGGCCACGGGCCAAAAGTCCCAGCGGAATCGATGCGGCATTATTATTATCATTATTAAAGGAGTCGATATGGCGATGGCAAATCCCGGCCAATGCGAATAATATGCCACATGTCCAACCCACTTCATCGTGTCTATTTACCGCCCTCCCCCTCCCTTTGGAAATGCCACAAGCGGCGACCGCAATTTGTATCTCGTCTGCGTTGCACATGTCTGTATTAGTTGCCAAGATTTCCAGCCAAGTTATAAAGGATAGCGAAAAAAGAGGAGTACCTATAATATAGTCTCCAGTTCTTATCTTTTTCTCATCCTATTATATACTGCGGTCATTCATTAATTTGCGATAACAAGACAAACATATTCTGTGAAACAATAGATATTATTTTAATACCTCTATTTAAATTTTAGTTTTATTTTTATTCGATTTTTAATTAAATCAATTGCTTAAAATGTTCGATTATTTTTAGAGATTTTATTCATTTGCTTAGATTTTGTGGAATCGATTTCTTTTCGGAGCATCGCAGAAGCAATACGATTGACCGGATGCAATTGCAAACTGAAATATATGTGTTCGGAGTAGTTACTGAACACCACGCCCCCAAATCCCCAACGCCTCTTTGAAGTGTGTGCGTGTCGGTCGGCCTATTGAAACAAATTGTAATTAAATGAATGTATTCCATTGCGCAGCGAATCGTAGCCTCAGGCAGGTTCTCGTTCTCGTTCTCGTTCTCGGCTCATTCCCGGTCACCATGTCAACCGATTCTGTAGGTCGGTCGGAGGTGGAAAGGGGTCAGGAAAACTGGGGGCGTTTCAGTGGCCGCAGGCATTTTCCCACTTATCCGGGATTAGTAAAAATGCCACATTAAACTAAGTAAACAATTATCATCAGTGGACGAATATCTGTCTGCTGGATCAAAAGGTAACAATAACGACGAACTCAATCAGCCTGATAGCTTGCATCAATATTAAAACTGGTGCCATTACTTAATTAATTATTTGTTAGGGGCCTAGAATTTAAAACTATCAAAAAATAGTTTAAGTTATATTCCATACAAAACTTTAAAAGTATTTTTGTTATTAGTTCATGCCATTTTTTTCTAAATCAAGTACCTAATACTCTTATATACATTTTTTATAATTTTTATCTTGTAACCAAAAGAAAAAATAAGTATTTTAAAAACAATCTTTTTCAAATAGTAAATTGATTAATTTTCTGATTAATGGATAGAGACATAAAATAAACCATTTATGTACATATTGTCGCTTTGTTTTGGCAAATACCTATATGTTGAGAGTTTACTATGACCTTTCCTAAGTTTTTTACCGTGGCTTGCGTCTGCGCTTGCTGTAGAAACAAAACTGTTCTACAAAATCCCCGAGATCAACGTATAATTTTTTTTTTAATATGTGTATATAACTTCTCATCCAGTGCGAAAGTACCAACTGTAGTGCTGCCTAGCTTACCCTTTAGCGAAGCGATCGAAAAGAGAAAAGGCTGCACATAAAAAATTGATTTTGCTTAAGATTCTTATCGTTTTTTTCCGTTTCCGACGGTGGTCAACACGGTGGTGCCTCAAATGGCGCCGATGACTGGCTATCGATCTATCGATCGTGGCTTACATCTATTGGCGGCAATTCGCGCCCACAACTGCCATCGCTAGTGTGTTTTCAGCGCCTTTTCCACCATAATTGTTGGCGAAAAACAAGCGAAGGATTTGCTGGGGAAAAGCGACCAGGACACAGGAAGACAACAGCAGAATGCCCGCCGGCATTGTGAAGACCCCGAGCAGCGTCAGGACGAAGGATGCAGCCGTGGCAAAGTCCGCGGAGAAGACCGCGAGCGGTGGCAAAAGTTTGTGCAGACGCGTCTGCCATTCAAGATGATTACGCCAGGCGGTGGAGCAGGAGCCACCGCCTCCTCGTCCTCGTCGTCCGCCGGCCCCGTTACTGTGATCCTAGATGACGAAGATCCCGTTCCGCGCAAACGGAAGCTCTCGTACGACGATGAAACGCCACAGGAGGGCACCGGCAGTTCCGCCGCACAGCTGCGCCGTTCGAACAGCAAAGAGAACCTCGATTTGGCCAGTTCCATAGCCACAAAGAAGGCCAAGACTGCAGACATAGAGGTGGAATCCCTGGCGGAGGATGTCATCGAACTGGATGATGATGAAGGTGATGAGGAAGAAAAAGACATGACGGAAGAGATCGCGCCGGTGAAGAAGACCACAGAGGCCAAGCCGAAGACCAAGAAGCCGGTGGCGAAGAAAGCCTCGCCGGCACCCATACAAATCAAGTTGCCATTGGTCAACAAACGATCCAAGCGCAGAAAATCCCTCAAGAAATCCGAGGAGGCGCTGGACACTTCAGCCAAGGATGTTGCCAAGACAGGCAGTGAGTCCAGCGATGACATAGAAGCACTAGCTGAGGAGCTGAACCCTCAAAAGAAGCTGCGAGTCCAGGTGGTGGAGCTTGACTCACCAGAAGAGAGCCCCAAAAACAAAGAAAAGGAAGAGGAGAAGGTCAGCCAGAATGAGAAAAAGGACCCAAAGAAGCAGAAGGAGGCCAAGGATACGTCAAAGGAATCCAAAAAGGAAGAGTCCAAACTCACAGAGCAGAACAAGAAAAACGATCAATCCACGATAGATCTCTTTATAGCTAAGAAGGCGGAAGCCGGCAAGAAAGAAGTGCCTGAAAACAAGAAGAGAAATAAATCGATTGTAGAGGATTCCAAACCCAAAGAAACCACCAAGCAGGATAAAACCAAAGCGGCCGGGAAACTCGCGAAGGAGGAATCAAAATCAGCTGAAAAGCACGATCCAGAAGAAAACGAAGCCAGTTCAACGAAGTCGCAGAAAGAGAAAGACAACCCGCCTGCCAAAAATCAAAAAGAAGAGCTCTCCAATGGCAAGAACCAGAAAGAAGAAGCAAGCAAGAAATCCCAAATAAAGGAAACTGAAAAGAAGGCCGAATCACCAAAGGAGAAACCCAGCAATGAGATCGAGCAGGACTCCGGAAAAACCAAGAAAGACGAGCCATCTGCTCCGGAAAAATCCGAGAAAGGAACACCCGAAGATGCTGAAATCTCAGTGATCCTCTCCAGCAGCGAAGACAACAGCTCCAGCAGCGAGCACGAAATGGACGTGGACACGGACGTGCAGAAGGATGTTCCTCACAACAGAAGAAGCCTCCCGGAGGCCACTGATTCCCAGAAGACGCTCACGCCCAAACAGCAGAAACTTCTGGAGCGAAGGAAGAAAGCTCGCGAGGAGAAGGAACAAAAACTGGCTGAGGAGCGGCGTCTGAAGCAGCAGGAGAAGGAACAGCGGGAGCAGCAGAAGAAGCAGGAGCGCGACGAAAAGGAGCAGCAAAGGAAGATGGAGAAGGACCAAAAGGAGCAGCAGAAGAAGATGGAAAAGGAGGAGAAGGAGCGCAAGCGGCAGGCCGAGGTGGATTCCAAGAACGAGGAGAAGCGCAAGCGCAACGAGGCCAAGGAGGAGGTGCAGCGCAAAAAGGACGAGGAGCGCCGCAAAAAGGAGCAGGAACGCGAGGAGGCCGAGCAAAAGAAGAAGCGAGCCGCCGAGTCCTTCACCAAGTTCTTTGTGCCCAAGCAACCGAAAACCGGCGGCGGATCCAATGCCACATCCTACCTGGAACACGAACAGAGCAGCTGCGACAGCTCCAAGGCGAGCAGCCAGCTGCTGGCCTTCCGACCCTTCCAGGTCAAGGACGACATGCTGCTGGCGCCCATTGTGCGCGCCTCGCTTGGCCAGGAGCAGCGCTCCCAGCTGGACGGACTCTTCAAGCACCACGACGAGGATGACGACGACGACGAGGAGGAGGAGGGCATCGTTCGGCGAAAGCCACCAAATCGGGCTCATCTTTATCTCAGCGAACTGAGCAATGGGCGGCGGTTGCCACTGAAGATGCTGCGCGATGCCAGACTTCAAAGACGCACCAAGGATGAAGAGGAGGAGGACGAGGTTCAAGTGATAGGTGGGTACTCCACTTATTATTGCATTCCTACCAAAAAGCTAATCATATTTTTATTAACGCAGACGACCTTTCCACTGCTGGTCTGCCCATTGAGGAGGAGCAGCCCAAGCAGCTGGCCAGGATGCGGGCCAAGTATCTGCACTTTGCGGACAACCGAAGACCGCCCTACTACGGCACCTGGCGCAAGAAGAGCACCAGCATCTCCGCTCGCCATCCACTGGCACAGGATAAAGTAAGAATTGGATACTTCAACATTCGATCACAGAAATGAATAACCTTTTTATGCAGGTTCACTTCGATTACGAACTGGACTCGGATTGCGAGTGGGAGGAGGAGGAGCCGGGCGAGTCGCTCAGTGCCAGCGAGGACGAGAAGGAGCGCGAGTCGGAGGAGGAGTCCGAGGAGGAGTACAACGAGTGGTACGTGCCGCACGGTCATCTCAGCGACGAGGAGCTGCAGAACGACGGCGACGGCGAAATGGATGATGGACACACGCGCGAGGCGCAAAAGGCCAAGTTGCAGGTGCTGCAGCAGGAGTTCGCCCAGGAGATGAAGAAGCAGACGAAGAAGATCAAACCACGCCTCCTGGGTCCCGTTTGGCTGGACGAGAACGGCAACAAATCGGAGCTGTTCCCGGCCATTTTCGCCCACACCATCGACATGTACGCCTGCTGGCAGACGGAGCCGCTCAGCCTGGAGCCACCGCCGGAGCCGGAGCGCGAGGATCAGCCGCCCGAGCAGCCGGTGCCACTGCAGCTGGACGATCGCCTGTTGCAGCAGCTGGTGCGCCTGACCCACGGCAATCGGAACTCGAAGACGTTCTTGATCAACGAGTATTTAGAGTACCTGAAAACCCAACCATCCGTCGAGTCCAATCAAACGCTGTTGCCCTCGAAGACTGTGCTACGCGAGAAGTTCGACGAGCTGGCCAGCTGGAAGACCGTGGAGCTGGGCACACCCGAGGCGGCGGCCACCAATGCGACCAGCGCCAAAAAGACCAAGAAGCCGAAGAAGCGTGTCTGCTGGGTGGTGGCCACCGAGCTGCTGGAGAAGTACCAGCTGCCGGAGCTACCGCTGCAGAACCAGTGGGACTACACGCTGACGCCCAAGGTGAGCGAGGGAGCCGATGCAGCGCAGCACGAGCAGAGTCCGCCAGCAGAGGCGGAAGCCACCGCATCACCCGTCGTGGCATCGGTTGCCAACTCAACGTCGCCCACAACGCCCGTCACGGGCCAAAGTCAGGCAACTCCTGGCGCCAAAAAGCGGGCCACCTTGATCATGTCCGTGCCCAGGGATCAGCCGATTCCCACGGCCACCAAGAACAAGCTGATCAGCCAGTTCCTGCGGCGCCAGAACGATGCCAGCAGTCCTAAGGATAAGCCGCAGGATAAGGCCAAGGAGAAGCCGCCTCCCGCCGTCAGCGAGGATGTGGTGATGCTCTCGGATTAGACCTAAGTTAACCCCCCCAAAAAAGAAAACACTACTGCCCCAGGTTTTGTGGGTCTTCCTCCTAGCCGTAGTTTCAATTGATATCCACGCACATTTTTTTTTCGATAGATTCGCTTGTAAGTTGATTTAATTTTTAATGTTCCCGATGTACGTTCGACTTGTATGTCCTCCTCCTCATCAGCCCATCCGCATCAGGTGTATCCCTTCCCAGCCAGCATCCATCCACCCACCCGCTCATCTGTAGCTCTGTTAAGTGGTTCGCGGAACAAGTACTCACAAACTGTAATTATCGCGGTACGTTTCGGTTGCGTTAGTGAACCATCTATACATATATAGTATATATGCAATAATACATTACCTGATCTTTTACTTTCTCGCAGTTTTGGAATGGAAATATACATATGTACATATAAGGGGCGAGTTATCTTATAGTTTGCAAGCCATAAATGGATGACGTGAAGAGATAGATTTGCTATATGATAACAAAAGTAGTAGTAGTGCGGATATATAGCACCATTTTATTGTTATAAACAAATAAAGATGCGATTGGTAGGACACATTAGGATTCGGGTGGCCGTATTTGCAATAATACGCTACTGATGTGTCGATTATTGCAGTCCTGGTGTCGGATTATTGCAAATACGGTTACCCGAACGCTAATTTGTACTTTAAATCGCATCTTTAATTGTTTATAACAAAATAATGGTGCTATATTTTCACTTTCCGCCAACGGGTTTCGAAGTTTTATAAAAAAATACGTAATTTTTTAGCCGTTTTACCTTCTACTGCACTTCTAAACATTTACCAACTACTTTTGTTATCATATGATTAAACTTTAAGAAACAGAAGAATTAATAAATCCATTAATTTTTAAGCTTTCCCAGAAATTTGCTAAATGGGGTAGTTATACAACATTTTTCTTAAGTGGTTCTTCGAGCTCCAAAATGGTATTGTCTACTTCTGATAAAATAGTTTTTTTTTTTTTTAATTGAGAAAATGATTTTAAAATTTAATTGTCAGACGGTTTTCATGAAGATTATCAGAAATATCTTATATTGGTAAATGTTGGTACATAAAAATTGTGGTCCAAATAAATTGATAAAGCCATATAAAGAAAACACAATTCTGAAAAAATTATATGAATATAAACAAAATTTGAATTTAATTTTTAAAACTTGTTTGTTTATTCTTTTTGTCATTTTTTTTTTTTTTCATTAATTAAATTAATTATTAAATATACATTTAGTTAAGATTCCCGACAAAAAATTACTGTGGCTGCATTATATAAGTGAGTGTGTCGTGTGTGGGTGTTGTCATTAAAAACGTGGACGTGAACGTGTGTCGTACAATTAGATCTGCAAGATTTATTCCCATCTACATTTATATACGATTATCCATTAATTATTGCTATGTTATCGTTGTTTAATTGCTGTCTGCTGTCGATATTGTTGATTCACCGCGTGTCCCGCCCCCATTTTTACCCTTTCCCATCAAAAGTTCGCTAAGCTAACTAAAAAAAAACCCGAGCATTGTGAGGAAATCTCAAGATAAAAAAGTGCGAGTTACAGGCTATTTTTGAAATAACCAGGTGTTGGTGGTGAAGAGGGAGGGTGTTGCCAAGGGGGAAAGGTGATTCCGATTCCAAAACCGAATCCGAATCCGGTTCCACTCACAATGCTGATTTACAATTACAAGATCGCACATATAGCTCTGTATGTACACGAATATGTATCGTCGTTATATTAAATATAGTAAGGCAAATATGACGAGGGTCAATGAAAATTGGAATACACATCTTGTGGGACTTCTTTCTTTCTTTTTTTTGAGAGGGCAATTGCAGCGCGTTTCATTTGTGCAATACCAATATATTCTATGAAATGGGCAGGGAAAACATAATGGAAATTTGGTGGTTTAAGAAACAAGGCAGTTATTAAAATGAGCTGGGAGTAAGTACAATTAGTCGAAAAGTAAACATTTCCATTATAGAGTTTCGTTGCAATTGCACTTATGAAACACACTGCGTGAAAGTAATTATGTATTGTCACAGAAACCAGTCATTCATGTGTGTGTATATTTTTGATTAGGTTTAAACAGCGAAAAAATCGTTAAGTACTTAGGATTTAAGATCAAGTCATTTACAAAATCATTTGCATGTTTTCACAATTCAACAATTGTCAAGTTAATGTTTTTTTTTTATGTAGCTATATCATTAAAGGTCGATAAAAAAAATATGTATGTTGTGGGAGGACAATTTTAAACAAATTTTCCTGAAGCTTTCTCGTTTACAAACCCAATTACTTTGAAAACCTAAAAAACCTCGAATTAAGTATTTCTCGTTTGCAACAATTAAATTTGTATACCCTACTAGGAATAGTTCCAAAATACCGTCTTTTCGTTTGTATAACGTAAGCAAGAGCTTTGATTTTGTTTTAAATAAAATTAGTTTATAATTGTCCAATCTATAAAATCGACCCAAGCTAAGGGGTTTGATAAGCGTTTTTTTGTCCTTCAATTTTCCCTTCGATCCCGTTTTTTTTTTTTATAAAATTTTTTGGTCGTCTTGTCTTTTTAAGTTACTGCCACGCTTTCATCTTTGCTTTTTTCTTTTCTGCTAATCATATGTCCTCTTCGGCATCGCCTGGAGCTGCTTTTGCCTCGCCGCTCGACTCCTCCGGCTGGGAGTCACTGCGTCAGGGCAGCAGGAGCGGTCGGAAGTAGGCGCGGCAGAAGATCGTCGACGCCGAGGGCGGCAGATCTTGGTTGCGATAGTACATGTTGCACTCCCGCTCCGTCAGCTTGTCGAAAACGGCCGCATAGTCGCGATGGAATGCAGCCAGATCGACGTTGGACCTTCCGATGGCGGTCAAGGCCAGGAAGAGGATGTCCCGGTAGAACGAGTGCGATCGCTCCACGCCGTTGCTCTTCAGCTTGTGCCGCTCGTTGGCCAAACGCTTCAGCGGAGTGGCGTAGTCGTTGCCCCGAATGGCCGAAATGATTTGCTGAATGACACTGCAGTGCCACGCAAAACAGTTTTGGATTAGTGAAAGCTTAACACTTTTAATCGAATCGCTGCTACTCACTTCTTGTTGAGCTGCGCCTGGTCGGTGAGCAGCGCCTTGATGAGCGGACTTGTCGGTTGGGTCTCCCTGTACAGTAGGTACATGGGCGGTCCACTCGCCTCGGTGTGCAGGCTGAGGTTGTCCCACAAGCACTGGATATGCACCGTCTTCACCTTGCTCAGTGGATCGATGTGCTCCTTGTCGCTCTGTTGGGGAAATATAAGTGCAATAGTTAGTCACTTATTCATAGGTGCTTTTAAAGTAATTTGTAAAGGCAACAAAGTATTGGTGATCCCTGCTAAACAAATTTTAAATTACAATTTTCATCAAAATTATTATAATAATTTAATAATAATTGTTTAAGAATTTTAGAAAAATTAAGTAACAGTAACATTTAAAGTATTTATTAGTTATGAACTATTTCCAAACCCAATCAAAAAATCATTCATGGATTTGTTGTACAAAATGCGAAATCAATAAGATGAGTTAAATTATAATTATTATAATTTTGAATATTGAATATCTACAAATCTTAATGAAGCATTTTAACGTGGTTTTAAAATCAGTTTTTTAATTATCGACTTACCGGCACGGGGAGACAGAGCTCCGGCAGGTGCGTCTTGCTCTCTATGCGCTCCATCAGCCAGAGCAGGTTCCAGTAGATGATCGGGTGCTCCTCGACGAACTCCGGCTTGATCAGCGCAATGTCGCCCTCCTGCGTGAGTATGTTCTCCAGCTCCTTGCGCAGCACCAGCGGATTCAGATACGGCACAGTGAGACTGGACTTGTGGCTAGTGCCATTGGCCGTTTGCTCCTTGCCATCCTCCGTCTGTTTGGGTTGATCCGACTCCGACTCCTCGGACTGCCGCTCGATCTGCACGCTGAGGAAGGGAACGGTGAGCTTGTTGCAGGCGTGGCAGGTGGTGTTCAGGTTGGAGTCCTCCGCCGTCCAGCCGCTCATGATCTCCTCGTCGTAGACGAGCACCGAACAGTTGTGGCACTGCGAGCAGGTCGTCAGCTGGATCAGCACATCGCAGTCGCGATCAGTGGCGTTCTAGAGGATCGAAAGGCATGGATAAGCAAGAATACATTAGAATCGTAAACAACCCACTCACCTCTCCAATTACACTGTACAGATTGTCGGGCAGAGCGGGAAAGGCGTGCATGTGCAGGGCGCCGGTGGAACTGTTCTCGCCGAGCGGCACCAGATTGTTGTAGCTGGACTTGCGCGACTCACTTAGCCTGCCCCAGGGATCCAAGTCGCTGGAGACGCGTCGCAACTTGCCCTCCTCGTGGACGGCGGCATCGTGCTCCTCCTGATCCGCACTGCCATGCTGCGAATGATGATGATGGTGGTGGTGCGGATGGTGGTGCGCGTGGTGCAGACCATGCGGATGATGGCCGTTGTTCGTCTTCGTCGGCGTTGAATTGGCCGAGATCACGCCCTTGATCTCGTCGAACTTCTTGGTCAACGAACTGGCTGCTGACTTGATGCTGCTCAAGCTCCCCTGGATCAACTCGTTCGATTTCTTTCCCGTCAAGCTGGGACTGGGTTGTACAAATGCAATTTATTAATACGACTGCTTCAAACACTTAGTACTTAAACAGTTTACATATCTACAACGAAACAAGAATGAAGTGGTTCCTACAGCAGCTGATTCCAAGGTTACTAGGAAATGTAATTAATTAGGGAAAGACTTGAAGTTATGAGTATTAAATGAATTAAGTTTAAAGGAACTTCTGATTTGAAAGTACTTAAACATTTGTTTTATGTTCTATAATAAAAAAAAAAGATATATTTAATATCTATTTAATTATAATAATGATATAGGAGTTTGTAGAGATTTTTGAGTAACATTTAATACACAGGAAGTCAACCGTTTTTTTAAAAAATCAATGTATCCTGGTATAAGAATATCTATATTCTATTGCATAGCTCTTTGGCTCTATAACTCTGTACAGTATAGTTATGATTATGTGAAATTATCAAGATAGATATCAAGGAACTCAGCTGCTGGAGGTGCTGCTATATATGGTGGTGCGGTGCTTGTGGATGGTCGTCGTCGTTAGTTTGATTTAATCGAGTTAGTGAGGATGCTATGCGTGGCTTTTGTCAAACCTTGAATTGCCCGCCACCAACGAAGTTTTTCAAAGGGGACTTTAAACCATAGCCATAACCAAAACCAAAGGCAAAACTCTGTGGAACAGCATTTTGGGTGTGGTGGAACTTATGTGGAACACAAAACGAAAACAAGAGGTTAGGTCTCTGTTGTGTGTGTGTTTTTGTTGTGCCGTTGTGTGTTACTTGCCGCTGTCCACCATTTTAATTGATATTAATTGATTAACTAAATTACAAATAAAAAGCTGTGTTTAAAAGTATATTAGTATCAGCATGTTAAAAATGCAAAACAAAACAAAAAGGTTGTTTGGCAGGAAAAAAAAAATTTTCTATTGCTTTAAATTAAAATTTTCAACATTTTGCTTAGTGATTTTTAAAGTACTTAAACATTTCAATGGCTGTGTGTATATTTTGATTAGTGTTTTCCTCATTGTTATCTATTAATTTTAATTAATTTTGGGCATTTAATGTTATTTTACACACAGCGTAACAACTATATAATTTAAAGTAATATTAATTTTTAATTGAATTGTGATATTGAATACAAAATCATATATTTGTGACTGTTTTGTGAACTTTGTGTATAACGAAATTGTTGAAAACAAGTTAAGTTAATAATAAAAAACCATGACAAATAAAATAGAATAGAGATAACAAATATTTTATATAAAACATGTTATTATTGTTGACCCAATAACCCATTTCCAAACTTTTCCTTCACCAAGAGAACACTTATTCTATTCAATAACTAAATGCCGAGTGGATCTTGTGGAAAGCAGCACAACACACAATTGGGTGTATTTTTCGGGTATGTGTGTCTAGAAGTTCTCTAGGAAAGGTCTCCACTTACCTTATGCTCGATATATTTTCTATTATATTGGCGGGCAATTTCAAGTCTTTCTTAAGGGACAATCGTGCGGGTGAATAACGTCTAAGATATAATTATATATATATATATGTAAATAAATCATAAAACAAATATGGCACAAAAACGAGTTTGATTAAGAGATGGTTAAGATAGATCATATGGCTTTTTCAGTTCTTCAGATCACTTGATTCACATAGAAAATTCAATTTCAATTTGAATTATAAAGATTATTAAAACTTTTGACCGATTTCAGTGAGATCTTTTGTCAATTTCACAAGATTAAAAACAAACCAAAAAAGCCATAGATTAGGGATAAAACGATAATATCAGGGATAAATTATCCTCTTGCTTTGGTGAGTGGACGTGGAATGCTTGTGGAATCGTGTGTTTAGATGAATCAAGGGGGAACACAAAGATAGAGGAGCACAGGGATGGGGAAAGACTGTGGTGGAACGTCGGAGTTACCCGAACGTGAACTTCAGCGAGGAGCCGATGTTGGCCAGGCTGTTGGTCACCCCGCTGCTGGCCACTGGCATCGTCTCCGAGCGGTGCATGCTCTTCCCGATCTGCGTCGACTCGTCGAAGGTGGCGCTCCTTGGGCCGCGGAACAGGATCGGCTTGTCGCTGTAGATGCTGCTGTCGATCTGCGACTGCGTCACCTGCTGCTCCTGCTGCGTCTGCTGCGCCGCCGGCGTGGCACTGGCCAGGGACTCCTCCTCGTTGAGGGCGCCCAGTGGATCGTTCTGGGTCACGGGCGTGCGTGGCGAGATTCTGGCGAATAACAAAATAAACAATATTATTATATTTCATATCTTAAAGGTTATGTTGATGGTTTTTTTTCCCTCAGTTAATAAAACGTTTTTGTGGTCTTATAAAAAACAAAAGAATAAATAAAGAAATACCTATGTAAGCCAAAGAATTTAATATTATGAGTAATTATTGTATTAAATACAAAACGGGTTTTAAAACCAAAAATCAGAAAAATTAAAAAAGGAATTTTTCAAATTAGCATTAATGTTTTCTAAATTCAACCAACTTTTTTTAGTTATAATTGCACGATTTCCTAATTCTTTATTAGTTACATTCTATATTTATTCCCAAACTCACTTGGTTGGACTCTGCACCCGCTGGCGTGCCCTTTGGGCGGCCACATGCTCATCGACCTCGTCCTCGTCCTCCTCGTCCGCCTCGTAGTCTCCACCGCCGGCGTACTCCAGTTCACCACTGCCCGCCTCCAGTTGCTTTTGCGGTGTGCTCGGCGATTCGGCCGTGTACTCATCTTCGTCTTCGTCCTCATCCTCCTCCTCCTCGTCGTCGTCGTCGCCGCCGCCAATGCTCATGATCTGCTTGCGCGGCTGCTGTTGCTGGAGCGCCTTGGCCAGGATCTCGGTGTCGCCGCCGTACGTCGGCGTGTTCGGAGCACTCAACTCACCCGGAATGAGCAATCCCGCGCTGTTGACCGTATCCTCCAGGGTCTCGTTGTTGCCACCGGTCACCGTTTGCCGCACAATGCTGCCCAGCTTGTTCCTCAGCCGATCGAAGGCGGCAAAGTCGAGCAGGCCGTGACCACCGCCATCGCCCGAGGATGAAGCCAAGCTGGTTCGCGACTGTCCATCCACCGTTTCCAAAGTGCTCAAGTTCTGATCCTGGGACGCACTCAGCGACTTGTTCACCTTGGAGGCGGCCCTCTGTTTGCCAGCCCTCCGAAATTGCGCCGCTCCAAGCACCACGTTCTTGATGCGGTTCCACCGGATCTGGCTGAGCGTAGTGCTGTCACTCGGCCACTGCGACTCCAAGACGCAGCGGTTGTAGAAGCCGTAGGTCAGCGCATTGGCCTGCACCCCCGAACGCTTCATCAGGTAATGGAGACGGACGGCCAGCACCGGCAGATTGTGGATGCCGCACAGCTGCATCATGATCCGGTAGCAGAACTCGTCGCAGGTGATCTTCAGGCGACTGGCGCGTACCAGAACATCGTAGGCGGCGCGCAGGATGTCCGGCTCCTTGCCGGCGTGCCGCGTATCCAAAACCATCGAGGGCAGGATGAGGAAGTACAGCGAGTAGCAGGTGGCCAGCAGGTACTTGGACCACGCCTCCGGATGCTGCTGGCACCGGCTGGCCATCTTCTGGGAAAGCTTTATCTCGTGCTTCGTGCGCCGTGCAATCGGCGATCCCGGCGATAGGGAGGCATTCAGCTGCAGCTGCAGGAACTTCGACAGAGCCGTCTTCTTGGTGCTCTGCAACAGTTCCGGCTGCAGCGTGAAGTTCTCGTAGTTGTAGGCCACGCCAGCGGATCCAGCTCCTCCGCCGCCCGCCGGCGTCACGCTGTCCGGCGGAAAGATGTACTTGGTGCGTTCGCTGTTCTGACCCGAGTCCCAGTCCACCAATCGGAGCTGGGCGGGCGTCTCGTCGTAGTTGCCCACCTTCTCCGCACACTCGTCGAAGAAGCTCAGGCCATGATCGCCATCCGAAACGAAGGAGCGCTCCTCGATGAACCGAATGAACATCTGGGTCTTCATCATCAACTCAAAGAACTTTTGGTGCGACTGTTTGTTTTATGGAGACAAAGTGATTCCAAGTTAGCTTAGTTTGAGTTAAAGCTATGCTTAAATTCCCTTACCTTGTCTCGCGATCGCAGGAAGGCCTTCAGCTGGAAGAGAGCACTCGGATCGGTGGCCCCCACCGAGGGCGCCTTGGAGATGGGCACCAGGAAGTCGCGGTAGCCGCGCAGAATGCTGGCCATGAAGAGCAGGAAGGCCTCCTGGATGCGCTGCTCCAGCACCAGTTCCCGTTTCCGCTTTCGTATGTCGCGATCCAAGCTGTTCGTCGAATCGTAGCTGATGGGCTTGGCATTCTCCAGTTCGGTGAGCGTCTGGCGGAGCAGGCGTGCTGCTCGCTTCGGAAGCAGCTTGGGCGACAAATGGCGCTGCGATTCACACAACTGCAAAGAGTTAACACACGTTAATGCATTGGCCAAGAGAAGAAACAGAAAGATAATACTACACAAGTCTAGTTTTACAAATGCTTTTTTATGCATAAAGTGTTGATCCAAATAAAAAAGAAGTGATATATCGTATAACAAGAAGAATCTGTTGCTCATGCAAAGTATTGGTCACCACAAAACCGCAAAACAATGATCATATTCCAAGGAAATATTTGTTTTAATGATCTCTGTGATATCAAAATACTAAGAAGTGGTATAAAAGTAAAAAATTAAGTATGTGCATAGTTAAGTTTGTCGAATTCTAAGCTTTAAAGAACCCATTCCATATATTTTCGACTATAAAAGAGCCTTCAAACTCACGCTTATATTGTTCGTATCCAAGTCGATGCAGGTGACATCCGTTGGAGGTTCGTACAGATCGAAGAAGCGCGAGTCCACGCCAATCAGATAAGGCAATGGGGCGTGGAGCACCTCGGCGAGTCCCAGAGGACAGAGCGGGATGTACGGACACTGCCACTTGAAGGGGAACAGCAGGGAGACAATGGCCTCGGCCACAGCAGTCAACGTGGCGGGTCTGCAAATGATTAATGATTATAATTAATAATATAATACTTGATTTAAATGCATAGATTGCTGCTTCGCCGACCTGAGAGAGTGGATGAGTATCTTCTGTTCGGTGAGGGCCAACAGCAGCACATGCAGACAGTTGTCGGTGCCCAGGTTCTGGAGCAGCATGTGGAAGCCGGCGCCACTTCGCGGCAGCGGCGAATCCTCCGGCTGGGTGAGCAGAATGCGATCGTTGGACTCGCTGGACAGCTGCAGGTGGATGCTGGGCGCCGGAAAGGGAACCTCATCCAGCAGCTGCGTAATGTAGCGCTCCACGGGAATGGGTATATTAACGCCATACAAAACCATACGCTAAAAAGAAAGAAAGCTAGATTCATTTCTGATTAAGATATGGGAGTGCTGTCTAAACTCACATGGAGGTACTTGAGCCACTTGTCGAAGGTGTCGCCGAAGGGATGGTGCGACAGCAGACATATGGCCTTGATCATGTGCAGCGAATGCTGCCCAGCGAACTCCTCATCCCAACCGAGCAGCTCCTTTTGCTCCGCCGACAACTGCGACTCACTAAAAAGAATGATTTGTAAATATATATGAGATTTGTAATAAATACAAAAGGGGGGGAACCCACTCGTAATCCTCGTAGAAAGTCAAGGCGGAACCGTAGACCTTGTAGGTGCCGTCGTTCACCGTCAGCACGAAGGTGCTGAACACCGGACTGATGGGCTTGCGCTTCTCCGTTCCGTTGACATGCGGCCACGCCTCCAGGGAAGCGCCCATCGGCAGGCAGAAGAGCGGGACGCTCGGACAGAGGTTCAGCGGGAAGTCGGTGTGGTCGACGGTGGGGTAGCGCAGCAGGATCTCCGGCTGGTAGCTGATGTGCTTCGGCCGGTACATGGACTTCTTGTAGCACAGGTAGACGTCGCTGCCCACGTAGCCCTTGTTCAGGGTCTTGTAGATCAGGCAGAAGGCGTGCGGTGCCCGTTCGCACTTGGAGCGCCCTTGGACAATGACGCACAGCTCGGTGACCACCAGCTCGTTGCAGGGCATGTCCGCCCGGGCGCGACGGTACGTGAGGAAGGTCTTCGCCGACGAGTTGTTCACGTTGGCCACCCGGCCGCCGGGCGTCTCGGCCACGATTTCCGCATCCGGCATGATCCGTTCGTGGCCATCGTACAGGACTCCTGCAAATGGAGAGCCAGGTTAGTAAAAAATACAGCTTAATTAATAATATAAAATTTTAGTTGATCTAAATAGGTTGATTTGCTTTAAACAAAGGGTTTCATTTACGGGTGATGATACATTCTATTTAAATAAATTATACTTGATTGATTTTATCACGAGTAGTTTTCACTTAAGTTAAACTTAACGTTTACTTTTGTTATCTATAAAGCCATTCTGTTGATTGATGGAATCTACTTCAAACAAACTTTTCCTAAATAAACAACAGAAGGCAAAATTTGAGCTCAGTTACAACTCAACAACAAATTATTTTTGGATCAATATATGCATTTATACACATTTTAATTTAAAAATGACACAGAACTGGAAAATGGTTATTTATTATCAAAAGCTTAAGTCATCATTTTATGTTAACCGTTTTTACATGAACCAAGTAAAGAATTCTGAATGAAATTTAATTTTTTGCTTATATTTAATTGTTATCTATCTGGCAGTAACTAAATATGTACATATATGAAATATTCATATAACACTCTCGGAAATGCTGATAATAATATTGAAGACTGTCAACAAAAGCCAAGATTATTTTACTCTTACAAATTGTGATCTTCAAAAAGCAACTCACACACATTAATCGTTTAAAGACTCTCTAACAAAAAAAAAAAAAAAACCTTTTATTATTGGATCGCTTACCGATATCCACGAGGGGCGGGCGATCCTTGCCCCGCCGGAAGTAGATGTAGCAGTCGGTGGTGCGTACCGATCCGTAGTTGAGGTTCGCCTGCAGGCCGGTGGGCGTGTGGGCAAGGAGCTCATATCCCTCGGGAACCTCCTCGCCGAGGAGCGGGAAGAAGACGCCGATGTCCGTGATCGGTTCAATGGTGCTGGCTGCCCGCAATCTTCCCGAGTCGTTGAAGATGTTCTCCTGCAGCAGCTGCGGGTGCTCCGGCATTCCGGCCACCACAAAGTAGTCGGCGATGCGCTTCTCCTCCATGGCGACGTCGCTTCCTCTGAAAGTGACAGCGAAAGAGCCGCGTTGAGTGGCTAATTCTTGGGCACGGCCGGTCTTGCAGGGCAGATAAGATAACGCCGACAGCTCGACACAGCGGATTCCAGTTGGGGTTGCTGCTCCCAATCCCCTCTTAATTAATATTTCGTTTAGTTATCTTCAGTCGGGGCCAAAGTCAATGGGACTTCCGAAGGGGAGGTTCGATAAAAGTGACACAAGTAATAATAGTGTGATTCCCATGGTTAGCAGAGAAGCAGAAAAGAAGTCATTCAGCAATGAAACTTTTATCTACTCGGCTTCTTCGAGCAAGTGGGCGAGACTTTTGCAATTTTAATAATTCAAGTTGATTCAATAAAAGCTATGCCTTTAATTCGTAACTCTGTATGTATGTATGTCTGTCTAAACGAAGAGCAAATTTGCGTTGTGCATTTTTAAAGAAGCTTGTCCTGAGATAAATATTGTGTTTTTCTTTTAACTTTTTAAGTTGCTTCACTTTTATACAACCTATCTAAAGTAAACATTCTTGGATGTTAGAAAATCGTAATGTCCGATTGCTCATTTATATCTCCCGATTTAAGAAAAAATATAATGTTTCATAAAGAAACAAAAAAAAAAACACAATCTGACTGGTGACCCACTAGAAACAAATGCCCCACTTTAGTGACCCCAAGCGAGGGTTCACCGTACTATTTCGAGTGGCGCAAAATTCTTTGTTTACATTGCTCGATAAACTCGGATTCTGACTGGAATCGTATGCATTAGCGTCGACTCTGATTGGACTTTGTATGCTGAACATTTTTATGCTTCTGACAGCAACAACAAATTGAGCTGGGGAAACAAGTTCCGCTTGATGATTCAACTTCCTCCGCTTCCGTTCCACAGCAACAAAAACAACATCGAAATATGCTCTTTTTGTTTGTGTTGAGTGATGATGCGTTGTTTTTGTTTACAGGAGTCCAATTGGATGAGCAAGGGGACAGGGGCGTTGGAAGGAAAAGGGATCTTAACTTACTGCACTCCCGTTCGTTGTCCTCCAAGGGGGCGGGCCACGGAGGGGGCGTGGGGCCCTGGGCAACCTTCAGTTGCTTTTGTTGTTCGCCTTGGACTGCAATTGTCGCTTTTCCTTCGCTTTTCTTCTTCACACAACGTTAATTTCCACACACCAACACACACACGCACACACACAGTTAGACTACTTGAGAGTTTTTCTTTACATCATTTTCTCAGAGTTTTCCTTTTAAGGCTGATTGATTTAACCACAATAACCGAACGAACAGTCTTCAATTAGTTATGCGAATTTAGCGGAATAAGCCTACGTAAATACGTGTGGAGTGCTGTAGACGAAAAGTACGAAATGTTCATTTAACTGGCCTACCAGCCGTGTTCGCGAGTCTGTGTGACTGGCAAAGAACTGCCAATCGCCCGAGCGCGCAGTTTGTGGTCCATATATTATGAAATGCGCCGCAAGATAAAAAAAAACACAGGCTATCGCTAGGGAACTTGGATTTACTATTATTAATGTTGTTAATAACTTTTTGCCCCTTCTTTTGGCCTGTTTTTCAGTGTAACCAGACGGCGCGCGTAAAATCCATTATTTTTGGTGTAACCAGAGTCCGCTAAAAAAAAAACCGAACTTAATTCCCCGACACACGTTTAATATTGGAAATGGGCCATCGCTTTGTTCTTTTTATTTACATATTTATTTTTGCGCTAGTTTTGAGGTTTAAAAAAAAAAGATTTTTCAGGCTCACCGTTAGAAATTCATCAATAAATTCATCAATAAAATTTAAAAAAAATATTAATATTTTACTAAACTTTCGATAGTGTTAAGTAACAGACGTTGTCATCTCTAGAACATTCGACTGCTGTCGTGCCTCGATTTTGCCATCTCAATTGCAAACATGGAAGCGAATTTGCCGAAACCCAAACGCTCTTTTAAGCGTCCGTTTGCTTTTCCCAAGAACTGTGTGTACCGTCCACTTCGACAGATAAGCAATATGGAGCGCAATTTGAAGCTGCCTGCCGAAAGACCTACATGTGAGTACCGAAGCGATAGATTTGCCAAGAGGTTCTTCACCCAAATAGCTTTGCTCATCCTTTCCAAGACTTTACGCTTAATGCACCGCCATCGTTGGTTCCGGCCAAGAAGTATTCGGACATTAGCGGTCTACCGGCTCCGTATGCCGATCCCCACACGAAGCTGCGGTTCGCCAACGCCGACGAGTACGCCTCGATGCAGCACATGCCTTCGGACATCATCAATGGCTACCTCACAGTCCGCGGCTACACCAGTGCCGTGGGATAGACGGTCTATATAGTATATATAGATATATGTATATTCCACATACCCGATGTGTTCCGCCCCTGAAGGCACCGTTTCAGACCTTGCTATGCGACTACCACTCACAATAGCCAATTACGGGAGCTGCTGACCTTGCTTTTACTGGCATTGCATGCGAGGCTAAACTGCCGACTGCTTCCTGGCTGCGATCCAGGGAGTTGTATCCACAATTACAATATAAGAAACATACCCACAACAAGACTATCGTTGATTTTTTGAACATTTTCTACCACTATTTGTTAAAGAAATTTTCAAACTATTGACCAACATGGTTCAAGGTGAGACTAATACCTTGGCGGTTGGAAATTGTCAAAATTAACAAAGCAAAAATAAATACCATATAAGTCCTAATTGGAAATATAAATAGTTTTACAACCAAAACGGGCAAATGTGTAGTTAAAAATTTAAGTGTGGTTTTGTATTTTTCTGCTCGTCAATGTCAATCTAACGCAGATAAAGTAAATGGAGGTTTATTTAAGGACATTTATAAATGTTTTACGAACTACATCTCTATCATAATATCATTCGCATAGTCAATATTATTGTGTATTATTTAGCAGCTATCAGAAGTACCAAAAGCAAGTTTCTAAAACTCTTGTAATTACTGGGCTTATCTCTCTTTCTCATCCTCTCAGGTCCTTCTTTTTCCAATTTTTCTCGTAAACGTAGTTCGAGCTTGCTCTTCAATTCGTTTCAAGTACAAAGAACCGGACTAGTGGCTCAGTGATGCTTCTCCTAACTCTCCTCTTTGTTTGTGGCAGTCGACTCAGGCTTATTCCTTACGGCTTTGGATGCTAGCCGGCTTGGTTGATCGGCCGGCTAATACTGTTCGGCTGCGTTAGCATCTGCAGATCGGAGCGGAAGCTCCTCGGCAGCCCTGAGATGTCCAGCTGGTGCTTAAGCACCACCATCGTGGCCAGGGTTTTCAGAGTGGGCTCAAAGTCAAGCACATGCAGATCGCTATAGTCAATAAGCGCCACGCCAGCAGCGGCACCTCCTCCAATGGCTGCTCCTGTCGCGTCCTCCGCCTCCTGTGTGGGTGAAACCGCTGTCGGTGAGCTGGACGTGCCACTCCTCGGACTGGTGCCGCCGAACAGGAACATTCTGGTGCCCATGACAATAGCGCATTGCCTTCTCCGTGCCGTCGGCGCCTTGCCATTGGCCCGTATTAGGTTCCACATCTTGGTGCGCGGATCGAAGGTGTACAGATCATTGAAATGCTGATCCAGCAGGCCGTTGTAGCCCCCGAAGACATATATCAGTTTGTTGTAAACGAACATGCTGTGGCTGCGCCGACCGACGGGCACCTTTCCGGCCGTGAATGGTCGATGCCAGACCTTGGTCTTCATGTCCAGGTAGACAATCTCGTGGCAGTAGGTCTCCTCTTGACTGTGGTACGGACTGTGCTTGTCGCCCCGTCCGCCGAAGATGTACATGCGCTCCTGCTCGTAGGCCACCGCCGCATGGAAGTCCCTGTAACTGGGCGGCACACCGAAGGTCTGAACGTATCGCCACTCCATGGTGTCCAGATTGAGTGAGTGCACATCGCTGCTGAACTCGTTAATCTCGTCGACGAAGCCGCCAAAGATGTACATGCTGTTGCCGATGACACACGCCGAATGGCCATCCCGTGCTCCCGGCAAACACCCGGTGACCTGGGGCCTCGACCACTGGGCAGTCTTTGGATCGAAGCAGTAGAGCGCATTGCAGAGGTTCTCGTCGTTGCGGCCACCCCAAATGTAGATGCGCTCCTTGTAGGCGACCACTGTGTGGCCGTAGCGCTGGAAGGGCACAAGCGGATACTTTAGTGGCACACCGGCGGCGTCCAGCTGCTGGGGCACCAAGGTCCAGCGCATCGTGTGGGCGTTCAGGGCGTGCACATCGATTGGTTCGTTGTAACGGTAATCGTAGCCCGTGCAGTAGCCGCCGAAGCTGTAGATGAAGTCGCCCACGCCCACTGCCGCATGGTTGACCCGCTGCGGTCCTCCGTCCAAGTGCACGGTCCACAGCATTTTGGCCAACTGGAAGAGCAGCGGAGCACCTCTGATACCTTTTCGCTTTGGGCCAGGTAACCGAAAGTCAGCAACCAAAAGCCCACAGCCCGCAGCCAAAATACACAAAGGAAGGCAAGTGCGCCGCAGTTGTTGGTCTTGCTGGGCGCGGGGAGGTGGTGGGTGGGAGGCGCAGGTGCGAGCGATTGAAGGCCACACAGGTGTAAACGCTGATACCAAACGCTCCGCTCGGCTGCTAAAAAAAATTCGCCTCAGCCTTTTGTTGTAGTTGCTCCCTAAAGATGCACGCGTGACAGCAATTCGAAAATACACCCAGATCCGTGATTCATAAATACTATCGATACTATCGAATTAGTATCGGACAGATTTTATAAATTTGATAACTTGCCGCAAAGATGTTTGCTGTTCCCGAAAGTGATCGTTTAATTTAAATAATAATAAAATATCACCATACAATTAAAATGTTTGGATTTTGCAAAATTTGATAAATTTGGTATGCAACTTTATTATAGAGGTAGAAACATGAAAGAAAATACCTTTCCCGTTGAGATAAAACGATTTTTGGCCATTTTATGCAAATTTTACCGAAAAGAAATGTCAAAAAAATGAAAAAATCGATTTTGCAAAAAAAATGAAGGGGGACCCCCACAAAATTTAAAATAACCGGTCTTATTTGGTACTTTTGTTAAGACTCTTATTTTTGAAAAATAGTTTTCTAACGACTCTTGAGGTAAATTAATAAAAAATCGGAATGTTATGTATAGCTGTCATAAAAAAAAATCGGAAAAATTCAATTATAAGATTGCTTTCCTTCTTGATTTTATATGAGTTAAAACAATAACAATCTATAATAAATAGTGATTTAGTTGTTGCAAGCTTAGTTGCGATATTTATTTACTGTTGTATATATGTGTTTATATACGTCATGTGTTTGTGTGTAAATTAGGTTGGTTGTAGTACAAAAGTTATAACAAAATAAATAACAAGAAATCATTTAATACAATTTTACGCGAACATACATATTATATAATGCAATCTATGCACATTTTGGTTTACGAAGGATGGTCCCAAAGCCGAAAAGCCCAGACCCAAGAAAAAAATTCGCGCCACATCGGGTTTGGTTACAAAATCGGGGGCAAATCAAATGCTAGGATTGCGGGGAAGGGAATGGAGGAGATTGGGAATTCGAATTCGAGACCCCCGTCTCCTAGACATTCGTTGGCGCGTCCATGCCGCAGATGACCGACTTGACCACCGATGCCGCCGAAATGGCTGCGTAATTCTGCCACTTGCGGGTGGACGTGCCGTCCTTGTAGTCGGCAATGCCCTTCACCAGGATGAAGCTCTCGCGACAGTTGCCAATGATGCTGTCCAGCACACTGCTCATTTCCACGTCGGTGGCCAGGAGGCCGTACTTCCTGGCGAACTGGGTGCGCAACTCGTCGCTCCGCACCAAATCCCTGCCGGATCCAATGGGTCCCAGGTGGAGTCGCAGCCTATTGACCCCGTCCACCTCGTCCGCCGCTATCGGATGGGCCACCTCGATCACCTCGTTGTTGCCAATGTTCATGAACAGCTTGTCCGTCCGCGCGTCCGGCCGGTTAAAGTCCGCCTCCGTCTTCTGGGCGAGTGCCTGCTGCGCTTGGTTCAGGTAGTGCTCCCACGGACGCTTCACGTGCATGTTGGCCTGCAGACTCTCGGCGATCTGCTGCAGCGAGTCGTTCACGGGAAAGTAGGTCCTCACGTCCTCGCCGCTCTTGTACAAGTAAACGTACGGCTTTTCCTTGCTGCGGGGGAAACCATGGAAAATGGAGAGTTTTTGAAATTATTAGTAATCAATAAAAAACTTATACAAAAGTAAACAAAAGGAAAATTACGACTATGAATATTCTTTTCCCCGAGATCCTCACCTATTGCTGAGCAGTGCCCGCTGCTTGTCCACATACGAGATGACCACGTCGCCCAGTCGGACGTGCTTTTTGTAGTCCGTGTAGTGGGGCACGCCTCCAGCCACGCCCACGATGAAGACGAAGTCGACCTTCTGGAATGTGCCCAACAGCCGGGTGGTGGTGTTGCCCGTCGCCGTCATCGCCTCCCGGTTGCTGCCCACCGATGGGAGCTTGGTGCTCACGATCCTGTGTGCCCCGATATTGCCCAACGTGTACACATTTGATTCGCCTGTGAAATAGAGTGGAAGTGGTGGTCAGTAGGTTGGCAGGATAAGATCTTTAACGCTAAAGACATTAAGGTACACCAAATAAAGCTGAGGTCAAAAAAAGGAGAAAGCGATGAGGATCAATAAAATATGTATACTGATAGAAATTGTAGGAATTTATAATATTTTAAGTGTTACAAATATTTGAAATCATAGTAAATAAATTTATTTGAAAGGTGTTTAAATATTTATGTAAAAAAATTGTTATAATTTAAAAATGTTTATCGTATTATATTTATTGTAACAACACAGTCGCATTTTACTCCTCGTCTCACGTCTCTTTCTGTGACCGCAGTTAAGTAGATTAAGATATGTTTATTTATGGTTAACCGCTTTATGAACCAAGTGCGTGACGGATTTAATCAATCCGCCGATAGTAACATGTATGTACAATAGAAGGTCATGTATCCTAGGGCAATCCTTTACCATAACAACAACCAAATAAAAGAAAACAAAAGACCGACGAAATGACACAGACACAAAAAGGACACAAAAGTACGAAAACAAATCAAATTATTCTAGGCCAAGTTCATAACTTTCCGATCAAGTTTATGGCAAGTCATTGGAGTACAGTGCGCACTCGATAGATGCGAACTCCCCAAGTTCCCCCACCTACCGAATGCTTACTGTTTCTTAAGAATAAATGAAATACAAGAATGATTAATTAGATTAAATTGAATTAGTTAATCTTAAATTCAGTAATTTTAAAAATGTCAGTAAATCTTGTCAGGAAATCTTGATGCTTGCCAAAAAAGATATGTTACAAATTAATGTAATGACATTATTAGAGGTGTAAGTTAATAAAATAAAACAAAGCTTATTAGACCGTTGACTTTTTTCAATCGTTTTGAACTTGACCTTGATTTATGGGTGCGACTGAGCTTAGATGTGGATTCAGGACATTTAGCTTACCAAATCTTCGTTTCTTTTTGGACTTTCTGAGTGAGTTCGTTAGATTGGGATCGGAATCTGTTACATGGGTAGATATATTTGGATTCAGGGAAAGGTGAAATGTTTTTTTTTTTTTTATTGCAGGCAAGCAAACAATCAGCAAAATTGTATGCAAATTCATTCGGTAATGGCGGTTTTTTCGTGGTGAGGTTTGTATTTTATTTTGGCCACCAGAGTCGAGGTTTGGGGAACAGAAAGGGAAAGAGAGAAACAGATAAAGATGGTTAGGCAAGTGTTCGATTAGTAAGAGTTTTGAAGGGGAGGCAGTGAGCCTATCCAATGCCAATCGGCAATCGGTAATCGTGCGATTCGTTATCGACTGTGCAAACATACCGACTGTGGTGTATCGGACGAATGTCTCCTTGTTCTCGAGCATTGCGTCCACGGCGAGCTTCTCGCAATACTGGGCCGTGATGATGGCGATGGTGGGCTGTTTGTTGGAGGCGATCGTGGGCATCTGCTTGACCACCTTGATCTCCTTGTCCTCGTGGTGGATGCGGGTGTACGCGTTGTACTCCATTGACTTGATCAATCCGCGCTCCTGGAGCGACTGGATCACCAGCAGGACATCCTGCTCACTCCAGCCGTAGTCCCTAGGAAGATAAAACATTTAGTACCTTGATTTCAATTAAGTAAATAAATTGGTATATTGCAATAATTGGATTTTACACTTACTTAGCCAGATCCTCGGGCGACACGGGATTGGGATAGGCCTGCTCGATGAGCTCCAAGACCTTTTCCTGGGTCAACGGTGGAGGTTCGAACTGGGATTCGTCCAGGGAAACTGCGCAAAAAAAACCAAGAGAAACAGACGATATAAGCACAAGTCTTTGAATTCTTCCTTTTTCAATGGTTATTAATTTAGCAGGGACTTCTGTTAGCGGGCAATGACATCTACTCTGAGCGGTGGGCGTGGCTGGTTAGGCGGTGTCTGTTAGTACAAAACACACACACACGGCTGGCAGGGCGGTCAATTAAGTGCTCAAGCAGCGGATTTTAATTGCAGACGGCAGACAAAGTGGACACTCAAGGTGGGAATGTTTCGAGGGCTTGAAAATGACGATGACGGCAGTTTGAGGAGCACATTTCAATTGAAAGGGAACGACAGCAATTGGGGAGCACTGCGATACAGAGGACTTTTAAATGCTGAGCCAACAGTTTCCAATTACAGTTTTAAAAACATTCTCTATGTTTTTTGTTGTTGGTTTTATTAAGAGCATTTCGGAAGTTTAGCATAAGCGTTTATTAAAATTTAAAATTTGCCATGCTCTTGCAAAATGCATTTGTAAAACAGCACCTTGAGGAATTAAAGCAATAGTACCGAATCATTTTAGAAACACCGCCAAATAACTAGCATACAGTTTTAATTTACTTCAACATATTCTGCCTTTACAGTTTTGCAACTATTAGAGTTAAAAGCGGTTGGAGAGCCGTTAAGGTCGTTTAAAATTTTAAAATTCAACTGCATAGTAGATCATTATTCTGGGAGAAAAACTAGTAGGTACATTGAAGTCGTTTTTTTTTTGTAAACCAATTAGCAACAAAAAGTGGGTTGGTTACTCCTTAAAATACAATTTTTATTCCAAATGGAGTCCACTTTGGGGGCCAACAGTTTGAGGTCCATTAGTTGGAGAACCATCGACGAGCATACAAAACCCAACAGTCTGAGAGCCATCTCAGAGCCTATACAGTTTGCAAGCCTGCACATTTATTTTATTTCGCAATTTACATTTAACTTTTTTTTTTAACTCTGGGGTGCAAAACACTGTTTATATTTGTTTGCATTTGTATTTTTTTTGGTGAGTTTTTAGTGCGTGCATTAGTACGAAAGGAAAAAAAACAACGAAAACGAACAACAAAGAAGGCGGAGAGGAGGAAAAGTGCAACGAAGCGGATACAAAACGGAGTTCGTTGAGCGGATTAGATGATTAGTTGTGGGAGCACTGGAGCCGAGGACCGGGGGATCGGAAACGGAAACGGAAATGACACTAGCACATTGGCAATGGCAATCCGACTCATTTCCGCCTGGCGCTCAGCTGCTCGGTGTACATGTCCAGCCAAATGGCCTTCATCAGGTTGTCGCCGTCACCTGTCTTCCGCTGCGCCAAGAGCGCCTCCTCGAACTTCC